ACTGAGAAAGTAAGCAGCTGTATGGACTCATGGCATCAGAAACTTGAAGGAAACAAAGGAGAAAAATTGTCAAGAGAGGTTATTTTTATTACTTTCAGCAAGTGAAACAAGTATTCTATTTTTTTTTAAGTGATTCCGATTGAATCATGTTTATAGGCTGCTCCAAGGAAAGCTGGGGAGGAAGACATTGGAACTACTGAAGAAAGGATATAATAATAGGCCAGACCTGGAGGGGATGATGGGTGCTGGGATTAAGGATGCTGTGAACAAGTCAGCCTTGAACAAAAAAATTAATTTCACCTTCTGGGAATGAAAGGAGTATGGAATTTTTTAAGTGGTAGGAGGTTGAAGAACTTCGGAAGACAGAGATCCACTTCCCTTGATGAAAAGGAGGATGCAGCCAGCTGCCCAGAGTGACGGACATGTGGCCTGATGAGAAGGCCAAGCACGTGCGGAATGAGCCTCTAGAGACCCAGGTCCTGGGCTCAAGTCAGACACGGGCAAGCGACCACTGACGGAGGGAACACGATATTTTAAAATCTCTCATTGGAATCATCTTTTATAAGATAATTTATTTCATAATTTGGTGTATGAGTTCAAATTTCACTCAGCAGTGATTCAGAGAGTTAAGTCAGTGCTCATTTTATTACAAAATCAAGCTTCAAGTTGAGGTCAAGTCCACAATGCCATTAAAACATTAAGGAAAACCTTAAAAACATCATCTTATATTTGTAGAATTTCTGCTTATGTTTTTGTTTTAGTTGTACAAATATTCCTATTTTAAAATACAGCTTACATAGTCACAAACAGCATTTTTTAACATTAAAAGAACTCTGGCTGGTGGATATTCGTTTTGCTGTTTTACAGGTGAAGAAACTGAGAATCAGAAAGGAAATAAATGAAATATCCTTTATTTCACAGTTGGCAGGGATGTCAACACTCCATCCCAAGTGTTTTGTTTGCTAAAGCAGAATTTCTCCACTATATGATAAACGTGTTTTAACTGCAGATCAAAGATACCTTTAACTTAGGGGGTTTTTGCCAATTTTTATTTTTATTTAAGAAACATAAATAAGATTATCCCAAATTTATTGGGAGAGAAAAGAGATTACATCAATCAAAGGAAAAGTCACATGAATACTATTTTTTATCAGAAGTTGGTTTTAGAAATTATACCAATACCTTTCTTTAACTTAAGAACTCACCATGTTTTATGGAAAATATTTCAAGGAACACATTCTGAGTTTAAAAATGATCCTTACTGAAAATTTAAATGTAGTTATATCACTACAAGTCAGCATTTGTGATAAATTATTAATCCATGTTCCTCTCATTCATCCACACCTGCAAACAGGCCAATCCTAGATGGAAGGGCAAGCTTTTCACCAAAATTTGAAAAAAGCACCCAGAGTTTTTTAAAAATCATTTGAACTGTTGGGATATTTGGCAATATTTGACTTCATCATATGATGAGTCAACCAAAACAATGATGAATCTACCAATATTTTTGAATAATTCAGGTTAGGAAATCTTGCCAGCCAGAGAACCCAAAACACTCTCAATTGGACAAGAATTTATTAATCTTCCTAAAGGTATGGAATTGCCATAATTGAATCTATAAATTTGAACAGATCTATGTCTGTCAGCAGACAGGCATGCTTTACTGCAAACAAGAATATTTCCATGCATATACATTTTTACCTCCCAAGCCTTGAGAATGGTTCAGTAAATGTAAATCTGTCCCCAGTGCCCAAAATAATGTTTATGCTTCAAATTGCATTATAATGCAATAAATGTATTATTAATCATTAAACTAAGAAGGAATGAAAAAAGTTTCCAAAATATTCAGCCACTGATTTTGGTATTCTGAATACACAAACACCACTCCTTTGCATCAGCAGTAGTCCCAGACTTCATTAGAATTACAAAGAAATCTAGTCTAACTCCTCAATTTGAGAGACTGGCCTAGGGAAGGGAAATTTAACAAGATTCAGTTTAGGCAAAAGTGGAATTAAAATCCAGGTATCTGGATTCACAGATTAGTGCACTTCCCAGCAGTATCACAGATATAAATAACCTCGTCTAATTTCATCTGGCAAGCAAATTCAGAGGCTGAGTGGAACTTCAAGAATCATGCTGAATTTGCTGTTTTATCATACTCCAAAGCACCTTCCATACAAATAGGTAATTAACAATATTATCATCACAGAAGAAAATTCTTTTAACTGCTCAAACATATTATTCTCTTCAAACCATATTATTCAAGATTTTTCTAAGTAACAACACAATATATAAAATGTTTGGGCTCTTCCTTTAACTTTCTCAGAATCATTCCTACTGAAAGTACACAGCAGGAACAAGTGAAATAACAAACTACAACAAAAATAACAAAATAACCAACAAACTAGCACTTTTAATCCTATGGCCTTCAATTCTAAGTGAAGTAGTCACAATTGAGCACTGATTTGCATCTACCACCAATCAAAAAATCAAAATAAATCACTGGGAAAGCTCATTGGTTTACATCACTGCCCTTGTATGTATTAGCTTCCAGAAAATCATTCCGAAGAACTGAATCATCTGGATCATTTTTATTACTCACTCAGTCTTGAGATGGTCTGCACAGTGCTGACTGAAATGTACTTCACTGAGCACCTTCTTTCCAAATGAACATCTGTGTCAGGTTTATTTATAGCCGCTGCCTTCAATCAGTACATTTCCAGGGGTGAGAAATAAAATTATCTCAACAACACTCTCCTACAGATATCCGAAACAAGACTTAAGAATCTAGGCAGATGGCCTTTGAAAAGATAATGAAAGATCTATAATGTAAAATGTATGTTAAGGTTTATTAGAGATTCAAAAGGACACTCCTCAATAAGCACACATAAAGAGCCTCAGGTACAATTAGAGAATTTAAGTCTTGTGTTTCTTTTGGCTTATCTCTTTATATACTCAAGATTATTATCATCACCTCCTCCATCCTCTTTTCCTCATTATGTTTCCTCTGAAATTTGGACACCTCTCTCTGTTTCTTACTTAGATGTTTTTCTCTCTATTTAGGAGCTTTTTCCTCCTAATTCTTTATAAAAGCAGAACATGCTTCCCCCTACTGGGAAAAAATTAAATTACAAAGTACATAGGAACATGTTCCTAAGTATCAAGAAACGAAGTTCCTGAGAAAAATAAAATGTTAAGGAACCAGGTGCACAGCCTTCTCTGACTCTTTTACCAGCTGCAGAAATACTTGCACTCTCTATTTAGGGCTCCTCACACGCATTGCTGTAGTTTGGCAGTTTTCAGTACACTAACTCTCATTAATGACTGATGAATTAATCAAGTCTGCTGTCCCCAAAAGAAGTCCAATTAGCAGGTCTGAGAAAATGATCAATTTGTAACTTTTTTCCATTTTAAAGCATTATCAGCTAAATGAAGACACTTCTGGAAAATATATTGAAGTAAATGATTTAAGAAGACTTTTAACCGCATTTTTAATCATTTTGAACAATCTTAATCATTTACCCATTAATTTACAATATTCCTATTATTTTTATGTAGTTATCTTTATTTTTTAATAGAGGGAGAGTTTAATTTTTTAATTGACTTTCATCTTCAACTTTAGGTTCTATTTATTTTTTTCATACAGTAACCAAGAAAGTAGTAAGCATGATTGCATTTTCTGTCCTAAATCCTCCATAAAACCAAACTTGTTCCTTGAAAAACAGTTTAGTTGTTTCACACATTCAATATTTCGATTATAAAGCTTTTCTTAATTACTTAGTATACAAAATAGAAAAAACACCTGACACTTTATTGTTGTAAATAATAATCCATCAATAAAACATTTAAATAAACCTAATGACTATTTGACTCATACATGGAGGATTAGAATTTTTCCTTCTATGTACAAGTAAATCTTGAAAAAGAAAACATTTCCTTTAATGCTTAAGGGCTGAGGAAGAGAAAGTTGTTACTTTTAGTTTTACTATAGGTAAGTTCATAAGAACCTAAGCTACAAAACTGCACTGTAGTCAATTTGATGATGAAGCAGTTTATTATTAACGAGGCATTCATCAAGAAAAAAAAAATCTGGAGTTGTTTTTAAAAAGACAGGTGTAGACTGCTACAAATATCTTGAATACCTTTAGCAGTTAGACGGCATTATTTCAAGATAAATGAAGTAATTTGGTTAATACTTCTGTCATACAAAAGTTCATGTTCGTGTGCCTGTGTGTGTGTGTGTTTAAACGACCTTTCAAAAGAACGCAAAAGACGACATTTCTGTTCCTCTGGGAATGAAATCTCTTTTAACATTACAGGTACACAAAAGAAAATGCACACTTGGTAAAACAGGTGATCAATTGTGGAGCGTTCCCAGAGATCAGCATCTCCCAGAACACGCAATCATCACACTTCAAATAAACTGATAAGCACTTTAGCCTCTTCCACGTCCACAAACATTAACACGCAGAATTTAATATAGGTTAATTCTGACTTTCCATAGGAAAGACTGTAATTAGACTAAAGAACATCAAAATCGTTTCCCAAGCAGAAGAAAGAGAAAGAAAGAAAGAAAGAAAGAAAGAAAGAAAGAAAGAAAGAAAGAGAAAGAAAGAAAGGAAAAGAAAAAGAAATGCTGATTTGTAGCAAAGAAGCTGTTAAAACACTACATTGATCACCATTCACTCGAAATTGATTTCCCTTCCCTCTGCGGAGTGAAAATATCCCCGTGGAGAGCGTAGCTCCTCACGTCTCTCCATCAAAGATTCTAACAGGGCACGTCTCCACCGCCACAGAGCTCACAGCTCCGGGCTCCCCAAATTCAGCTGCGGAGGGAGGGAGGGAGCGAGCATCCACCGCCCGAGGACCTGCTCTGTCCGTAGCTCTGGTCGAGCACCTTAGGGGACAGTCTCCGCGAAGGAGACGGGCGTCCTCCCCAACTCCGCTCCCCGAACCCCGCCGCGGTGACAGGGGCCAGCTTGCTGGGGAACAAGTCCTACCTTCGGCTAGCAGGCGCGAGGCGTGCACAAAAGATGGATCCAGGCTATCTTTTTCTGCCATCAGCTCAGGCAAGTATTTCTCCTCTTTCATAGCGCGGACTTCGGACCGACCCCGGCCAGGCGCAGGGCTCCGCGCGCTCGGACGTAGGTCTCCGGTAGCCCTGCTCGCCCGCCTCCCGCCTCCCCCTCCGCCGCGGCTCGGGGTCTGGCGCCCTCTCCGGTCCCGCGCCGCCCCCGCCCCCGCCGTCGGGCTGCGCGGCCCCGCGCCTCCCAACCCGTCCTGCCTCGGTCCCTCGCTCACGCCCAGCCCAGCTCGTACCAGCAGCCTGAACTGGAGAGGCGGGCACAGGGAGCGTCCCGCCTCCGCCCAACGCTGATTGGCGAGGGTCCGCGAGAGGCGGGGCCCCGCGAGGCCGCGGGCCCTCACTGGACCTCGCCGCAAGTCGGGTCACCTGAGTGGCAGGAGGTAGCAGGAGAGGGGAGGGCAGCGCGGAAGGTGCAAGCGCTTTCTTCTCGTAGCCAGAGCCCTCCCTGGTTATTAGGCATGCCCAGTTATGTGGAGCCCTCCTTGTCTTCTGCTGAGGTGCCGAGAGAGAGCGGGAAAAGCACCGGTTGAACAGAGAAGCTGGGGTCCAAGACAGGAGGGCAGATGGGGATGAGGAGGGCGCGCGGAGGGAATGGGAGAGCCCTCGGGAAAGCCTCGGGAAGGTAGATGGGACTTTACCTGCGTCGCTAAGGCACAGGTGTCTCCTCTCCGTCCTGCAGCTCTTACGCACTCCAGTGTGCAGGAATCAGCTGTGCACCGGCCTGGAAATATAATGAAGACTGCATGTGATCGGTGGCTGGTATTTCCAATGAGCCTGACCTACATCGCAGGGACGCAGTAGAATGTTCATTGATAAACAAATAAAGCGGCTCCCGGGCTATATTCTTGCACAGCAACACGCCTCCCCTGTGCAATCATTGGGGTATTGACATAGTTCTGGTTGTCCTCCATCCATGCCCCCTCCCCCAATCCCTATCTTTGGGAGGGATTCTGGCAGGTGGCTGAATTTTAAAACTAAAAAGCAACATAATAAGTTTGTGAAGGAATTAGGTAAATATGTGGAAGAAGGAAGAGACTAGGAAACAGGTAACTACGGTTGCTCCAATTTCCCCCTTTCTTCTTTATTTAGTTTTTTTTTTTACATCTTTATTGGAGTATAATTGCTTTACAATGGTGTGTTAGTTTCTGCTTTATAACAAAGTGAATCAGTTATACATATACGTATGTTCCCATATCTGTTCCCTCTTGCGTCTCCCTCCCTCCCACACTCCCTAACCCACCCCTCTAGGTGGTCAAAAACCACCTAGATGATCTCCCTGTGCTATGCAGCTGCTTCCCACTAGCTATCTATTTTACGTTTGGTATTGTATATATGTCCATCTGAATCTCTCACTTTGTCGCAGCTTACCCTTCCCCCTCCCCATATCGTCAAGTCCATGCTCTAGTATAGTAGGTCTGTGTCTTTATTGCCGTCTTACCCCCAGGTTGTTCATGACCTTCTTTTTTCTTTTTTTTTTTTTTTTTAATTCCATATATATGTGTTAGCATACGGTATTTGTTTTTCTCTTTCTGACTTACTTCACTCTGTATGACAAACTCTATGTCCATCCACCTCACTACAAATAACTCAATTTCGTTTCATTTTATGGCTGAGTAATATTCCATTGTATATATGTGCCACATCTTCTTTTATCCATTCATCTGTTGATGAACACTTAGGTTGCTTCCATGTCCCGGCTATTGTAAATACAGCTGCAATGAACATTTTGGAGCATGACTCTTTTTGAATTATGGTTTTCTGAGGGTATATGCCCAGTAGTGGGATTTCTGGGTCCTATGGTAGTTCTATTTTTAGTTTTTTAAGGAACCTCCATACTGTTCTCCATAGTGGCTCTATCAATTTACATTCCCACCAACCTTGCAAGCGTGCTGCCTTTTCTCCCCACCCTCTCCAGCATTTGTTGCTTCTAGATTTTTTGGTGATGGCCATTCTGACTGTTGGGAGATGATACCTCATTGTAGTTTTGATTTGCATTTCTCTAATGATTAATGATGTTGAGCATTCTTTCATGTGTTTGTTGGCAATCTGTATATCTTCTTTGGAGAAATGTCTATTTAGGTCCTCTGCCCATTTCTGGATTGGGTTTTTTCTTTTTTTGTTATTAAGCTGCATGAGCTGCTTATAAATTTTGGAGATTAATCCTTTGTCAGTTGCTTCATTTGCAAATATTTTCTCCCATTCTGAGGGTTGTCTTTTGGTCTTGTTTATGGTTTCCTTTGCTGTGCAAAACCTTTGAAGTTTCATTAGGTCCCATTTGTTTATTTTTGTTTTTATTTCCATTTCTCTAGGAGGTGGGCCAAAAAGGATCTTGCTGTGATTTATGTCATAGAGTGTTCTGCCTATGTTTTCCTCTAAGACTTTGATAATGTCTGCCCTTACATTTAGGTCTTTAATCCATTTTGATTTTATTTTTGTGTATGGTGTTAGGGAGTGTTCTAATTTCATACTTTTACATGTGCCTGTCTTGTTTTCCCAGCACCACTTATTGAAGAGGCTGTCTTTTCTCCACTGTATATTCTTCCTTCCTTTATCAAAGATAAGGTGACCATATGTGTGTGCGTTTATCTCTGGGCTTTCTATCCTGTTCCATTGATGTATATATTTGTTTTTCTGCCAGTACCATACTGTCTTGATGACTGTAGCTTTGTAGTATATTCTGAAGTCAGGAAGCCTGAATCCTCCGGCTCCATTTTTTGTTCTCAAGATTGCTTTGGCTATTGGGGATCTTTTGTGTTTCCATACACATTGTGAAATTTTTTGTTCTAGTTCTGTGAAAAATTCCAGTGGTAGTTTGATAGGGATTGCATTGAATCTGTAGATTGCTTTGGGTAGCAGAGTCATTTTACAATGTTGATTCTTCCAGTCCAAGAACATGATATATCTCTCCATCTATTTGTATCATCTTTAATTTCTTTCATCACTGTCTTATAATTTTCTGCATACAGGTCTTTTGTCTCCTTAGGTAGGTTTATTCCTAGATATTTTATTCTTTTTGTTGCAATGGTAAATGAGAGGGTTTTCTTAATTTCACTTTCAGGTTTTTCATCATTATTGTATAAGTATGCCAGAGATTTCTGTGCATTAATTTTGTATCCTGCTACTTTACCAAATTCATTGATTAGCTCTAGTAGTTTACTGGTAGCATCCTTAGGATTCTTTATGTATAGTATCATGTCATCTGCAAACAGTGACAGCTTTACTTCTTATTTTCCGATTTGGATTCTTTTTATTTCTTTTTCTTCTCTGATTGCTGTGGCTAAAACTTCCAAAACTATGTTGAATAATAGTAGTGAGATTGGGCAATCTTGTCTTGTTCCTGATCTTAGTGTAAATGGTTTCAGGTTTTCACCATTGAGGACAATGCTGTCTGTGGTTTTGTCACACATGGCCTTTATTATGTTGAGGAAAGTTCCCTCTATGCTACTTTCTGCAGGGTTTTTATCATAAGCCAGTGTTGAATTTTGTCAAAAGCTTTCTCTGCATCTATTGAGATGGTCATATGGTTTTTAACCTTCAATTTGTTAATATGGTGTATCACATTGATTGATTTGCGTATATTGAAGAATCCTTGCGTTTATGGAATAAACCCCACTTGATCATGGTGTATGATACTTTTAATGTGCTGTTAGATTCTGTTTGCTAGTATTTTGTTGAGGATTTTTGCATCTTTGTTCATCAGTGATATTAGCTTGTAGTTTTCTTTCTTTGTGACTTCTTTGTCTGGTTTTGGTATCAGGGTGATGGTGGCCTCATAGAATGAGCTTGGGAGTGTTCCTCCCTCTGCTATATTTTGGAAGAGTTTGAGAAGGATAGGTGTTAGCTCTTCTCTAAATGTTTGATAGAATTTGCCTGTGAAGCCATCTGGTCCTGGGCTTTTGTTTGTTGGAAGATTTTTAATCACAGTTTCAATTTCAGTGCTTATGATTTGTCTGCTCATATTTTCTATTTCTTCCTGGTTCAGTCTAAGAAGGTTGTGCATTTCTAAGAATTTGTCCATTTCTTCCAGGTTGTCCATTTTATTAGCATAGCGTTGCTTTTAGTAATCTCATGATCCTTTCTATATCTGCAGTGTCAGTTGTTACTTCTCCTTTTTCATTTCTAATTCTATTGTTTTGAGTCTCCTCCCTTTTTCTCTTGATGAATCTGGCTAATGGTTTATCAATTTTATTTATCTTCTCAAGTAACCAGCTTTCAGTTTTATTGATCTTTGCTATCATTTCCTTCATTTTTTTCTCATTTATTTCTGATCTGATCTTTATGATTTCTTTCCTTCTGCTAACTTTAGAGTTTTTTTGTTTTTCTTCCTCTAATTTCTTTAGGTGCAAGGTTAGCTTGTTTATTTGAGATGTTTCGTGTTTCTTAAGGTAGGATTGTATTGCTATAAACTTCCCTCTTAGAACTGCTTTTGCTGCATCCCATAGGTTTTGGGTCATCATGTCTCCATTATCATTTGTTTCTAGGTATTTTTTTATTTCCTCTTTGATTTCTTCAGTGATCACTTCGTTATTAAGTAGTGTATTGTTTAGCCTACATGTGTTTGTATTTTTTACAGATCTCTTCCTGTAATTGATATCTAGTCTCATAGCATTGTGGTCGGAAAAGATTCTTGATACAATTTCAATTTTCTTAAATTTACCAAGGCTATATTTGTGACCCAAGATATGATGTATCCTGGAGAATATTCCATGAGCACTTGAGAAAAATGTGTATTCTGTTGTTTTTGGATGGAATGTCCTATAAATATCAATTAAGTCCATCTTGTTTAATGTATCATTTAAAGCTTGTGTTTCCTTATTTATTTTCATTTTGGATGATCTGTCCATTGGTGAGAGTTGGGTGTTAAAGTCCACTACTATGATTGTATTACTGTCAATTTCCCCTTTTATGGCTGTTAGTATTTGCTTTATGTATTGAGGTGCTCTTATGTTGGGTGCATAAATATTCACAATTGTTATATCTTCATCTTGGATCGATTCTTTGATCATTATGTAGTGTCCTTCTTTGTCTCTTGTTGTAGTCTTTATTTTAATATCTAATTTTTCTGATATGAGAATTTCTACTCTAGCTTTCTTCTGATTTCTATTTGCATGGAATATCTTTTTCCATCCCCTCACTTTCAGTCTGTATGTGTCCCTAGGTCTTAAGTGGGTCTCTTGTAGACAGCATATATACGGGTCTTGTTTTTTTATCCATTCAGCCAGTCTGTGTCTTTTGGTCGGGGCACTTAATCCATTTAC